AGCCTTGTGTTTGGCGCGAAATTTGAATTTCAAATGATTTCATTGACCCATTTTTAATAATATTTTGCAGAATAACATTGAAAAGAAAATTAGAATATGGTTTTCTGACGTAAAATWGCACGCGGAACACAATTTAACCAGTTAAAATGCTCTATGACGAGTAGTTTTTGAGTTATCGGTGAATAAAAAGTTTTAATAAAAGTGTTTATAATTTTTTTATTTATTTGGATTAGTTGGCTGACAACSTTGTGTTTGGCGCGAAATTTGAATTTTAAATTAATTTTACTGGAAAAATTGCCAAATTCGATTGAAAAAAAAAACAAAATGCGGTTTTTTAGACGTAAAATTCCACGGTAAACTCAATTCTACAGGTTAAAATACTCAGCAACGAGTAGTTTTCGACTAATCGGTCAATAAAAAGTTTTGGTAAAAGTGTTTATAATTTTTTTATATAATTAATTTTACTGGAAAAATTGCCAAATTCGACTGAAAAAAATCGAAATGTGGTTTTCTAGATGGAAAATGCACGCGGAACACGATTCTACAAGTTAAAATGCTCTACGACGAGTAGTTATTAAATTTTCGCTCAATAAAAAGCGTTGAATTTTTTTTTTTTAATTTATTTACGTAGTTGGCTTGGTTGTCTGACAGCCTTGTGTTTGGCGCGAAATTTGAATTTCAAATGATTTCATTGGCCTATTTTTAATAATATTTTACCCAATAACATTGAAACGAAAATTAGAATGAGGTTTTCTGAGGTAAAATTGCACGCGGGACACAATTTAACTAGTTAAAATGCTCTACGACGAGTAATTTTTGAGTTATCGGTCAATAAAATGTTTTGATAAAAGTGTCCATAATATTATTACTTAATTGGATTAGTTGGCTGACTTGGCGCGAAATTTGAATTATTAATCAAATTCACTGGAAAATTGTCAAATACGTCTGAAGAAAAAAATCGAAATGCGGTTTTGTAGACGTAAAATTGCACGCGGAACACGATTCTACAGGTTAAAATGCTCTACGACGAGTAGTTATCAAAGAAAAGTGATAAATTTATTTGTGTAGTTGGCTTATTTTGGCGCGAATTTTGAATTTGAAATGGTGATTGCAGATTCAGTCACTAATTCGTTGGTCAGCGGTTTGGCCTCGATGCCGTCGTACTTGGACGGCGAAGACAAGGAGAGTCTGGCGGAGGAGGACCTCCTCCCCGGGGGGCGCACGCCTGGGGACATTTCGAGCGATTCGGATTCGGAGCACAGGGGAATCCGATTCGAATCGCGCCATTTCAATGGCGACTCATCCGAAGAGGAACATTTTTCGAAAAATTTGAGTTTTGATAGGAAAGATAGCAGCAGTGATAGTGATTTTGAGATAATCAACACGGAGGAGGCGGAAGAACAGTGATTGTGATATTATTTTTTTTTTTTGATTTTTTGCTTGTAGTTATTTATTACGAGGATGCGATTTAATTTAATATATTGATTGATTAGATTAGGATGTTTGTTTAGTTTGTAATTTTTGAGGCTACTTAATAAAAATTCGACTCGTTTTATGGTTTTATTCGACAAAAATTGAGATTATTTACAGGAAACACCGAGGGGCCGGCGACTTAAAAAAATGTGTACAACTACATAATTCCAAAAAAATTATAAAATTATAATAAAAAAAATACCAGGTGAATAAAAAGTATGGAACTAAAGGTTTTTTGCTTGAACTATTTATTTTTTGGAAAAACTAATTTTTTGAATGATAAAGTTCTATAAAAATGTGATGTTTTGTTAAGAATATAATTTTTCGAAATTTTCTTTTGTTTT